GTACAATTTTAGGTTGTATTATATGATTAGTAATGCAAGAACTTAATTTAATTGAATACTTGATTTTATAAATTAACAGATCGTACAATATGATTGGGATCATATAGTATGATTTAATTGACAAGTCAAGTGTTTAATTTTCATGCCCACTCATGAATGTGTACTCGATTGTATTACCAACATATACTTAATTTCACAAATGATTTAAGAAAGAATGAAGTTACAAACTCTAGTTACAAGTTTGACTAGACTTGAACATTACAATTTCTTAAGTTTTCTTCTTTGATTTATCTCTATGTATGTTGTATCTAAAATATTAGTAGCACAAAAAAAAAAAAAAAGGTATATATATAAGGCAGGGAATAGTAAATGATCAAATCAATATACTTGTAATAATCAAAACAACTAGTAGGACTCATGGATTTCAACATGCCATAGATAGATCTACTTGAGGTATTAAAATCCCTTTAGCAGTGAAAGCCTTCAAAGAAAACTGTTAATTTCTCCTCATTTACAAAACATTGAACAAAAGATTACCTTAATTTGGAACAATTGTATATCCAAAATTGTTTTTAAAATAAAGCACAAAGATGATGAAATAAAGATAATAAAAATAATTTTTTCCTTTATTTTTTAAGATGATCAAAATAAAGATAAACTATGACAAAATATTTTTTTTAAAATATACATTTCAACAACGATATCTCAACTTAGCATATACTAATAAAATATATTAAATAAATAAATAAATAAAGTAAGAATGTCAATCTAATTTATAGTTGTTTGGCCAACTTGGCCTACATCAACTCTCCAAATCCTCTCATTGGGATTTTCACTTGTAATGTCTCCTTCTACTCCAAGAAAGGTGAAGAAGCCTATCTCTTTCATAGGGTAATGGAGAAACCCTTACACATCTCTCTTCTCCTCTTAGGACTTCAAAACCTAGCCTCCACGGGTAGATCCATGAGGTACACAAGTCCTCCTTGAGATTTTCATAGCCTTTACAACAAGACTCTTCAAAACTCTTCACCAAGAACTTTGTCCATAAACTAGATAAACAAAGGATATAATTGAAGAAATAAGCAAGTGAATACCTTACTAAAAATTTAATAACTCCCTTAAGAAATTTTTATACTTTTGAAATCTCTATTCTCTCAATCCTCTTTAAAGCTTTTTACAAATTTGTGCAAACCCTCTCTCAAAACTCTCAGGAACTCTCCACTACTATGAAAACTCTCCAAAAATCTGAGAAAACTCACTAAAGTTTCTTAGAGGTTAAGTATTTATAGGATGACTTTAAAAGGAAACCTAAAAAGCCTGATTATTAGATTTTCAAGCCTGATCATATAATTTAATTAGGGGATCATATAGTATGATTAGTTCAACTTTCCTAAAACCTCAAAAATCATTCTTTATTTCATTGGATTATATGATATATATCATACAATCTAATTAGCTCTTTTTCTCATACCATGATATTAGATTAGTCATTATGATTAACAATTAAATCAACATGTTATATGTTTGTTTAGCCTATATGATATGAATCATATTGTACAACATTTTCTTGATTCAATTTTTAATTTCTATCCTAGATTTTTAGATACCAAATAGGTAAATATTATACAAAGTGTTAAATATGGTCTATTTAATTTTGAACATAAGTTGAATCTAATACCTCAACTTTCCTAACTGGGTCATCGAAAGGCCTCCGTTTAATGTGACCAAACCATCTAAGGTAACTCTCTCTAATATTATCTTCCACTGGAGGTACTCCAACCTATTCACGATATGTTTATTTCTTATCCTATCTCTAAGGGTCAAGTCACTCATCCACCTAAGCATCCTCATCTCTGCAACACTTAACTTAGTATTATGTTTCTTTTTAATAGCCAACATTCAGAACCATAAAAGCATTACAAGTCTCACCACTATCTTATAGAATTTCCCCTTAAGTTTGAGGGGAACTTTTCTATCGCACAATAAGCTCGATGCATTCCTCCATTTCAACCATCCAACTTGAATTCTGTTGATAATATCACCATCTATTTCACTGTCACTCTGAATAATATAGCCAAAATATCTAAAACGTGTACTCTTATTAATGACTTGATTGCTCAAAGTCACAATCCCCTTGCTAGGTCTATTGCTACTAAAATTATACTCTATATATTCAATTTTAGATCTACTCAAGCGAAAACCTTTATACTCAAGGTTGACCACCATAATTCAAGTTTACCTTCAACTCACTCTCTAGTCTTATCAACAAGAAGAATATCATCAACAAAAATCATACACCAAGGTACATCCTCTTGCAAATGTTTAGTGAGAACATCCATGACTAAAGCAAAAAGATATTGACTTAAGGATGATCCTTGATGTAATCCAACCGAAATAGGAAAATACTTGGTCAAACCACTTTGTGTTTGAGCACAAGTAAGTAATTGCTTCAGCATACATATCTTTAATGATTTGAATATAAGCATTATTAACTCCTTTTTTTCAAGAACTCTCCATAGCACTTCTCTTGGAACTTTATTAGTTAATTTACAAAACTTTATTTTTCAAAATTACCCTTATGTCATGTACATCATAGAGTATGATCTTATAGTATATCAAGTGTTCTAATTAACTTTAATTTTGCCTCATTTTAACCTATTTTTTCTCTTGTGTGTGTACTTGATTGCATAGTGAATTATATACATGACATAATCACAAGAAGAATACAAAATAAAATTAAATTTATATTGCTTTAGCGGCATTCTTTTCATTGGCATCATTATTTCTTTAATCTTGATTGATCACAGTTTCATGATTGCCATCCAGAATGTGTCCAACATTATCTGATCATCATTTTTTTTATTTACCTAAAATATTAAGTTAGAGAAGAAGTGACAAGTACATAAAAATTTATTAGCTTAATTATCACTTCCAATAATATTTATAATGATCAAAATCCTAGTTATCTTACTAGGCTCATAGAGTCTAACAATTTTTTTTTAAAGACCCGTTGTTTGTGGCCTCATCTTTGACATTTATCTTGATATTACATCACTTATTAATAATAACAAATTCTTGATTGTTTTCCATGTTCATATATTATTCTTGATCTTTTTTTATTGCTCTGCTTCAAAAAACACTCTTCTTATAGTTTGCCGTATACTCCGTGCATGTTGCCCCTTTTAGGATATTGAATTCAAAATTATTCGTAAATCACACCAAACTATATTAAGAATTGTAACATCACTAACTTTAAAAATAATCGCTAGTTAGCCTGAGAAAGGGATGGAGAACGAAGATTAAAATCTTTCATTGGAACTCTCTTATAACTATCACTCGTTTATGAGAATAGATGGAGAAGAAAAAGACACTAAGAATATGTAGTCGATTAATTTCTTGCTTGAATTGTTAGATCAATAAACTAAAGCATCTCTTCAAATTACACATTTTTGAATTCTTGGGGCATTTTGGTCCAAATATAGTTTCAGGTATATTACGCTATTTCCCAAACTAAAATCATGCAACCTTTTATCTGTTTTTAATCCCAACTATTTTTAAGCAACAATAATTTCTTCCCACATGAAATAGTAATAGAAACTAAATCTATAAATTTAATTCAATTTTAACTTATTAAGTAGTGTTGCGGGCTAGAATATACGCGGCGATAGAGTTAAAAAATTTTCGTCTCAGTGTTGTACTGATATCCAGCACACAAACAGGAGAGAAAAGGAAATATCAGGATTTTTACATGGAAACCTTGGAAAGGGAAAAAATCACGGGGCCACGCTTTGTTGAAAAAGTTCTACTAGTGTTTGTTTGAGATACAAAAGGCTGACTCGTTCGTTAAAGTTAGGACGATCAGATTGCAATGAATAACTTCTAGATTAAAATTCAATTACAACATCGGGCATAGTTTCGATGTCACTTGGAGATCGAGCAGAATTCCAGCGTTGTTTGAAAATCGGACAGAACTCCGACGGCGGTGGTCGAGGAGTTTCTTCCCTCTTAATCTTCTTCTCTTCTCCTTCTTCTCTTCTTCTTCTTGCTTGGGTCCCCTCTCAAGAGAAATGAGGGGTCTATTTATAGATTTTTCTGGAGTGGCATGACCCATAAATAGGCGAGAGATCAGAGATAAATGGGGAGTGGTTCGATAGACGACCGATATTGAATCCCTCGATCGTGTACCATTCGTCAGACATTTGAAGGTCTTAATGATGTCGGAATTCGGCGATCTTGGGTTTGTTGGATTTGTATCGTCGAGCCGCTCGATTCAATTAGAAGCACGTCATGTTTGAAAACCGTTTGGTAACTCAAATTGTGGTTTGAACTTTCCAACAACGCTTTGGGTTCTTGATTTGGACTCATTTGGGCTCGGATTGAGTTGAATTTGGTGTCGATGGGTTGGTATTTCCTAAACGCTCAATTTGACTGTAAGTTTATTGAAATCGAAGTTCAGGTGATCCCGAATTTAATTTTTGAAGTTTCCGGCTTGATTTTGCCTCGAGATTCATGCCCGATCAAGTTTATTTTTTGATGATATATAAATTAGTTTTATAGCTTATGTGAATCAATTATCATGATATGAAAACCTAACGAGTTTCAGGCTTCCCTTGGTTCTTCCTCTCCTTTTGTAAATGATAGTTTTAGAAATAATTGTTAAAAGAATTGAGTTTTCTAAGAGAGAATCAAATATAAAAAAACTGTTTCAAAATAGTAGAAAATTAAAGCTTTCTAAAAAAGTATTTTTATAGAAGCGTCCCATCAAAATAACAAAAAAAAAAAAATCTCAATTTCTAAACATAAAAAAAAAACAAACCAGGCCTAGGTTTGAATTTGACCTAATGAGTTTTTCAGTTCAAATTTGTTCAGAATCAAATTCAGTTCAAATAAACACGAAAGGACATAAAGTTGACCCGTTTGCTATTTCACCACTGTAAAAACTAAAAAAAGAAAGGGATTTGCTACAACGGCAGCCTGGATAAGCTTTCGTAGCCATAGAAAAATTCAGCCGTAGAAAGGAGAAGATGAGTCTTTGAATCGGCTTTCTCATAGATAAAGAGAATTAATATGTTATTATCTTAGAGCATATATACTTAAATATATACAGAGAGAGAGAGAGAGCGCGCGCGCGTGGAAGCGAGGGTGGTATATATGGTATTTCTTCCTGCAACTTTTTTTGTTTATTTCTTTGCCATTGACTTACAGTGATGAGTTATGAGCAGGGAGGCGAAAGGAAAAATTGGCCGAAACTAATTTTGGAGTTCTTCGCTTTCTTTCTTTATGTCGTATTATATGGGATTGAATGCCCGCTGCATTCCCGTTTGCTCTTGATTTGAGAGCTAAAGATTGTCTTCTTCCGGATTTTCCGTTTGATATAGCAGAGTTTTCTGGTTTAGAAAAGGCAGGGAAAGTTGAATCTTTTTATTAGAATGACTTAATGAATCACGGATTGTCATTTTGTTAGCCTTCGATTTCCATTTCTACCCGTTTTTTTTTTGATATTTTGTACAGAAGAGAGCTTGATTTGAGTGTTTGTTGAATATTTTTTTTCTTTTCTTCCTTCTGTTAAAGGGCTAGAAATCTTCATGCACTGCAGGTTAGGAAGCATATGCTGTTGCTTTGTTCAGAGAGCTTGAACTTTGAAGTTAGCTTTGCTTCCCTGAAAATTTTAGCAGAGAAAAAAGATAGCCGGTTTGGAGGCTCAGTTTGGTAGACGTATTGAAACTTAGGTATTTTGAATGATGCATCTTTCTCTTTCTTTATAGTCCAAAAAAGCGGGTCAATTCCAAAGCAACTTCTGCCTTTGTTTCTGATTCTCTAATTTAGTTAACGAAAGGTTACCACTTTATTTGGTTAGGTTCAGCGTTTTGAATGATTAGTAGAAAGATTCTTCTAATTGTAGACAACTCATAATTGATTAGACAAACTGTACCATAAACAAAGGTTCTATTGATACTTACGATGGCTTTCTTTTCTTTTTGTTACTCTATTCCAGTAGGAGCGCTGCTTTTTTTTTTTTTGGGAAAAGATGGTAGATATGCAGAGCCAGGAGGAGGTGACGGGAAATCACTTCAGGAAGCAGCTTGCTGCTTGCGTTAGGAGCATACAGTGGAGCTATGCAATCTTCTGGTCTCAGTCTGCTGATCAGGAAGGGTAACCAAAAAACTTCAATTTTTTCAATTCTAATGTTTCATGCTTTCGGATTTCTTTTTTTTTTTTATTTTATTTGGTGATTCAATTTCCTTAGAACCGATGATATTGTATTATTTTGGGCGTGTGCTGTTGCTTTGTTCAGAGAGCTAAAACTTTCAAGTTAGCTTTGCTTCCCTGAAGATTTTATCAGAGGAAAAACTAGCTGGTTTTTTCTGTTCCACGTTGCAAGCTTGCGAGATTCTTTTATCTGCTACCGTTGTATACAATACTGTACATATCGAGTCAAACAATACTGATTGTTTCCATTTGGACTCATTGAGATATTCTTTTATCATTAGACTTCTTTATTGAATGATTTTATGAATTATGTTTGTGAGAATGCCTGTATTATGATCCAGAAGCTAAATTTTGTTAAAACATTTGCTGTTCATTTCTAAATATATTGGATTAAACAATTTGAGGAAACCTCTTTGAATGAATTTTCTTATATGGTTTTAGGAAAGTCTCTAGTGGAACCTTGCAATTACCTTTGTAGAACGTAATTGTTTGATAAAATAGAATTTTTTTTTTCTTCTTTATATTGCCATGAAAGCGTACGGCTAGAATAAAAAAATTGATCTTAGGATTTAGACTTCTGTACCTTTTCTCTGTTGTAATTGTTAACTGAAGTTGGGTTAAGCCCCAACTTTAAATTGTGTATGATCTTACAAAGAACGAAGAAACATCAGTCATTGGTTTTGAAGGAAGAACAACATGCTCTTCATGCTGTCCAGTTTATAGGATCCTTTAACATATTCAATGTGGTCCAAATGAAGATAGTGTTTAGAATGTAATGTGGTGCAAATAAAGATGGTGTTTAGAGTGGAGTAATGTCCTAGTATGACAAAATTTTCATTTTAGTCAAAACCTTAAATTGGAATGTAAAAAGACTTCAAACGCCAATGCACTCCCTTTTTTTTGCTTTCTTTTGAAGGGCTTTGCAAACTATAACAGGATATCAAAACCAAAAGTTTTGATTTCAATAATTGGTGTCACCTTTGATATTTTAGACGCCTATGCTATGTTTACCATTGCACAATGTAATTGAGTGCATACCACTATGGCCTAGTGGACTTATGATTTTTTGGGGCTAAATAGTGGCTAGAATTTGGTATGCATAAATATTTTTGGCCTAGTTGATATTGATTGAAATGAGTGAAGCCTTGCATACTTGACATAAAATATAAAATTCTACATATTCATTTGAATTATCCTGATGCTAGTTTAAACATGCCCATGTAAAAGTAAGAGAATAGAGAAATACAAAATATATAATAGAAGAGAATATTCTCCATAAGGAACATATATTACAACAATTAATATTACAAATTCTTACTAAATATTAAGCATATATGATAATATTAATGTGGCAATAAAATTATTCTAATATTTTCTCACAAACTCACAATGTTATAAGGAGCATCGAGAGTTTGTATAGCGCAACAAAAAATTGAGAGATCTATGCTAAGAACAGCTTAACTTCAAAATTACCAATCCAATCTAAGTGACACTAGAATGATATATTTCCCAGAAAATCGAGAAAAACTAAGTGATTGACACTAGGCCAACCTTTGTCGAGAACGAAAGTGGTAGATCTTCATTGGATCTTCACAAGATCCTCAAAGAATCTTTATGAGATCCTCTTGAGATCGTCAAGGGACATTCAAGACATGAGACAAAGATGAAGTTAGCAAAGTGCCGAATATCCAAGTTAGTGAGAGAAGTACAAGCACGAGTGTGGGCCAGCAATCGTAGTGAGGTTCCATACGCTAATAAGCACTAAAAAGAGGCGAAATCAGCGACTCAAGTGACAGTCGACGAGCGTGACGGGTTACTCAAATGGTCAGTTGACCTCCGATCGCTGAACAGACTGCGCTGATGCGATCAGATCATTAAATTTTTCAAGGACCACCTCACAGTCAAATCAAGCGGAAACGGTTAGAATCAGCGACCGACACTCAAGAATGACGTGTCGCGTTATCCAAACGATGTTCAATCTCAAAACAAACTTCGCTGTTGCGTTCGAAACGTCTGATTCACTTAAGAATGACAATAATTTTGCCTAATGAAATTCACACGGGGAAATCGATGCGTATCTTGAGCGACGTGCAAAGATTTTGAGAAAAATGGCATGAAAATCGAAACATACGTTTCCTATTTCATTTTATTTTTCTCTATGCCTTTTTAAATATTATTATTATTGATAATTTCAAATCAAAATAAAAAAGCATGTCTCGTACCTGTTTTGTGCCAATGTCAATGCCGCTTGTCCTGTCCACAATCTCTACTCGAATGGCGAATCAATCTCCTACCTCGTCATTAAAACAAGAGCGAAATCTCAGCTTATTCGTTTCTTCTTCCACACACAAGAGCTCCCAATTCCCGCATACCCGAATGATCTCTTCCTATGTCGAACTGTCGCAGCTCCTCACCCCCTCTGATCTCAATCAACCCATAGCCGAATCCCTTCCTCAACAACCTCCTTATTTCCAACTTCTACAACCTTCGATCACGACACCTCGATCCTGTCACCTATTTTTCATGGTCGAACCCAACCAACCATTTGACTCCAACCCATGACCCATCCAAATGAAATCCCGAATGCACCCTTCCTCTTCTTATCCGACACCTCCAGATCCTGACTAGGCCACTCGATCGGATGATCCCGATGCCTCACCCGAGCAAGCCACTCTTCTGCCAACTCCCCAATCCACCCTGTCGAGTACCCGAAGCAGCAAATACAGCCCGCCGCTCTTCTTTTTCTGACCACACCAGTTGATCGACCTAGACAACTCCTCTATTCCGATCCAGATTCCAATCCCGCCAATCCACGCAAGATGATCAACCTACTCACGACTCTGATCCCAAGCAGAGCCCCACACTTGACTTCATGCCTCCATTCCAGCCACAACCATGTCCTGACTTCCTCTCTTCCTCACCTATGATAGATCCCTTCTCCAGACCGATGCAGAACCGGCCCAGCCGTCTGACCTTTTTGCCCGCTCCCTGCTGCAACTGATCCTCCCTATCGATCTCACACCTGACCTCACTCCCTTTTACTTGCCAATCCCGATCCTATAGCAAGACTGCCCGACCTTCTATCCCCTCGTCTACCTGTTTGACTTCAACAATCAACCTCTTCATAATATCTGAATCATTATTCACTAAACTCCCACTCAAGTTAATCCCACTCCTTCAATCCACTACTCCTATAACACTTCAAATCACCTTCTCAAACCACTCCTAAAAAGTCCGCTTTCTCTCTTACCTTCCCCCCTTTCCATTATTACTATTATTAGTTAATAAAAAAAAAGAAAAAAAAAATAGAAAAGAGAAGATAGCAGGGAGAGAGAGAGAGAGAGAGGGAGGGAGGGAGGGAGAAAAAGAAGTGAGATTGTGTGATTTGGTCTTTTGCCATCATCGTCGCCCTGACACCGTCGTTTCCTCGATCCCATTGCCGTCGACTCTTACGTTAAGGTATAAGTGTCTCCATATCAAAAAAGTTTTCAAATCCCTCTTTTGACACTTGCGACGCGGCAAGCAACCACCTATGCTTGCTTTTCTTAGTGTGGTGAGAGAAAACTCGTTGTTGCGCTTGCGACGAGGTTGGTGAGCCTTATGCATGCTTTTCTTAGCATTTTGGGGAATATTTAAGTACCCATGTACGTACTTCTATACCCACGGGAAAAACCATTATACGTTTTCACACAGGTACCCCTGAAGACACATGCTTGCCTTTCTTGGCATGGTGGGATTAAAGACCACGTCCGTGATGTCGCCTAACACCAACTATGAACATCTTTCTTGACATTGTGGGAAAAAATTTGAACTCCCTAAATTTCACCTAAATTGGGGAGTCGTCGGGAGGCTGCCGAAATTTGAACTAACGACGCACAGGACTTGAACAAATAACAGGGGACGGAATTTGCAATTACCGGGAACATAACTTAACATCTAAAACAAAAAAAAGAAGAAACCTGTAATTTGCAAAATAGCAAAAATTAACCATGCAAATGAAAGGCTTGTAATGGACAAAACTTCAAAATTTGCCCGCAAGCATTGATCAGCAAGAATGAAGTGGAATTTCATAATCTAAAGTGCAGACAACTATACAAAATTCCCAACAGAAAAATAACATAAAACTTATAGTGATCATGTCAATCAGCCTATGAGCAAGAAAAAGGAACCTATGATACAATAGTTCGTCTTCGGGCGAAGACCAAAAACTTGTAATGAACTCATAAGCTCACCCACAATCAGTACCAATCAACTTGCAAATGGACACACTAACTTGCTTATAGGCAATAGTGCTGGCTAACATCAGAAGATTGTATTGAATGCAATAATATGCTTATGAGTAGCCCAGTTAGCAGCTGCACAGCCTGATGAAGCATAACATGGGATGATATGCGAGCTCGCCTACGAGTGTATGCAAGAGACTTGTAATGAATATAATGATTCTCCTATGGGCATGAGCGTGAACTTATGACGCACACAACCATTTATAAGACACTACAAGAAGTCTGTGAGTGTTTATGGGTGACAGCGTAAGATATGCAAGAAAACACGATAACTTGCCAACCAACAAGTTAACTTTGACGTACAAATGATAAGTGCGCCTCATCTGACAGTCAACTTTGACGTACAAATGAACACACTAAACCTACCTGCAAATGGTGGTATTCCTTACAGACATATATAGGCAGCATGCGATAAATGCATGGGTGTTCATATAGTCAACAACAATCAAGATTTCAATAAATATATTGATCCTTTGCAAGCAAAGGCGATTGATTTGCAACAAATGCAAACACCTATGAGCCACTGTAGAAGGCTCTCCATACACACTACATGCTATATACAAGAAAATATAGGAAGAGCTACAATAAAAGAAAATACCTACAAGTAGCACTAGGAGATCTGCATTCAATGCAACTCGCCCAAAGATGATGGCAAAAAGTCCATAATGCATATAGTGGTCCTACCTACAAGCAAATATAGTGAATGTATCACATGTATGGTGGATCCTCTATAGGCATGAGTAAGAAGATTGCAACGAGTGCGACATATTTCCTGTATGAAAAAAACAATGAGCTTTTGATGAATTCAAGCATCTATGAGCAATTGCAGGAGATTCGATAATGCACGATAGCTCAAGAAGAAGTGAGCGACCTATAGCGCAACGTCATGCCACTGGATCCGCAATACTCATAAAAGTGGATAGAAGTTGTTTGTAGGTTCTAAAATGAAATATTGCATACTTGTCAGTGATGGTCATCTGCAGAGTTGGCTATAACTGAATGTTGCAAATACACCCCCTCATGCATTTAGATGCACATTGACACATTCATAACATGCATACATTGCATGTGATTTTCATGTAGATACGAAGATAGATTTAAAGAAATGGCTCTGATACCATGGTAGTTAATATAAAATATCTACATCTTTATTTTTAATCTTAATGCTAACACAAAATACCTATATAAATGTAAATTAATAAAGAATCATGAAAATTATAATAAAGGACAATATCTTGCATAATGAGGATATATTATAATAATTAATACTATAATTTCCTCATAAAAATATGTATACATGATAATATAAATTTGTAATAGAATAATTCTAATAATTTTAATAATACTATAAAACACATGCTTTAAAAAACCTTTTTTGTCCCTATTGAATGTAGACGCACCACTAATCCACTCCCCGATACGTGTCCGATATTCTAATAGTTATATTTAACTTGTTTATCTAATTTTATTTTTCATAATTAGAGTTTAAAATGATCGGGACCACCCCGTCCCCCAGCCCCCTCCCCTGATGTGTCTGGGTGATCATCAACACAGATGGGACACACATGTTTCTAATTCAATAAATTTTTATTTAGATTGGGTGTTCGATTAGTTTGATGTTACCTCCTAAAATCTAGATTTTTGCATTAGCTCATTGCTAGATTGATTGCCACAAATCTCTCATTTCCTCTTTGTGTCATCTCAATCTCTATATTTTTAGCCATTATACAGTGTCCATGGCTTATCATTTCATAATTTTTTATGGCCTATGCTGTATTTAAGTTTCATGTCAATGTTTTATTTTATGACTTCCTTCTTGTTGTGATTTGTCTCTACAGCCTACTATTTGGTTTCCTTTGTTTTTGATGGTTTCTAGGTTGTTAGAGTGGAATGATGGATTCTATAATGGTGACATAAAAACTCGGAAGACCACACAACCAATTGAATGTAAAGCTGATCAAATGGCTCTACAGAGAAGTGAACAATTGAGAGAGCTATATGAGTCTCTTTCTATAGTTGCCTGTAATGAGCAGAATAGAAGGCCTTTTGCTTCATTATCTCCTGAAGATTTGACAGATGCGGAGTGGTATTATTTGGTCTGCATGTCCTTCACCTTTAATTTGGGACAAGAGTATGTTAACATCCCTTAAAACATTTTGGTTGCTTGCTTCTTTTGCATTTTGAGTTAAGCATGCAGTCCAAATATTAGTGATTGTTTCAAATGGTCATGATCTCATTTTTTGGCTTTGATGATAATATGTATTTTCTTGGATCTAACCGGATATTGTTCTCATATAGTAACATTGGTAAAAAAATGGAAGCTTGCATGCTTAATATTGACATTATAATCTATTTCCTTTGTCTTATATTTTTCTAGCCTCTTTATATGATGGAACTGAAATTAGAATATTATCTTACTCCTAGTTTATTTTATTTAACATTCACTTGTACATTGGTATTCAGCTTGCCAGGAAGAGTGTTTGAACATAATGAGCCTGTCTGGTTGAGCAATGCACAATTTGCTGATAACCGAACTTTTTCCCGTTGCCTTTTAGCAAAGGTTAGATCCTTGCTGATATATTGATCAACTCTTTTTCTTTATTTTCTTATGTCCATGCAAGCTAATTATTTCATTTTCTTAAATGCAAATTTTTTGGTTTCTAAATTGGATTGACTACTCAATGTTGCTTCAGAGTGCATCTATTCAGGTACGATTTACCCTTTAACAAACAGAAAAATAGCAGAGTTTATAACCACTCTTCATTTATTTATCTATTGTAATTAGACCAATCAAGTATGAACTAGCTCTAGATTATTTATGATAACATTTTAATATTAACTTGAAATTCTTCAACCAAAAGTGCAAACAAAATTGAAAGAATAAGTTTATTTATTATTAGAAAAAAAAAACATTAAAAGGGCTTTGTATAAGAATTTCATGTTAATATAAAAAAAAACAAAATTAAAACGAAACAGACTTGCTTGTACTTGAATCAACCAAACTGAGCACCTCCAACCTTAGAAGCATATCAATCTTTACTGTATTCATTGTACCAGTCACTTTGCCTTATTTTGCAGACTGTTGTGGGTCTTCCCTTCATGAATGGAGTACTAGAGCTTGGAACATTTGAACTGGTAAGTTCCTTCTTATTTAACATTTGCTAGTAACTGTGCTTCACATCCTCCTATTTTAATTGGTCCTTTTTCTCAAGGTTTTGGAAGATCCTGTTCTTGTGCAAAGCATAAAAAATTCGTTCTGGGAGTTTGAAGACCCAGTTTCCTCTGAAAATTCCACTTCAAGCCCCCCATTTGTTGGGAAGGAGGTGGACAATGTGCACCCGGTTCTGGATCACGAAGTAGATGACTCCATACTGTTTGAGAATCAGTCTGAATTTATGCACGACAATGTTCCTGAGCTTCATCCAAGCATCTGTAAGAAAATTCTTAGCATTTCTGAGCGCAGATCCAATGTTTGTGATGATCATTTAAGGATTAAGAGACAAGATTGGCAATGGAATGTTCATAGAAGGAACTTTATGGACGATGAGGTTGACAATGGCCTTCATGATTCTTTGAACTCCAGTGAATGCCCATCAATGTCTTTTGTTCAAAACATCCTTTCTTCTCCTAGAGGTGAAAGAGTGAAAGGAAACATGCCTGACAATCTTCAAGAGGATAATCATGCAAAGTTTGGTTCCTTTGGTGTTGAGGGAGATGGTTCTCATTATGCTTGCACTCTTTCTACTATTTTAGGGAACTTGAAACATCAAATTTCATTGCCAGGCATTACTTTTGAGAAGAGTTCTAATAAATCTAGCTTTAAGGTTTGGAAAAGAGATTCAAGGGCTTCAAAAAGTTTCACCAAGACACCGCAGAGAATGTTGAAGAATATTTTAATTGATGGCAAATGGATGAATGGTGATCTGGTGAAACTCCAAGAAGAGCAGGTGTCGAGGAATAAAACTTGGAAAACAGAGCCAGACGATGCTAATGCAAACCATGTCTTATCAGAGAGGAGAAGGAGAGAGAAGCTGAATGAGAAATTTCATGTTCTCAGATCATTAGTTCCTTCAATCAGCAAGGTAAATGGACATGATTTACCATTTCTTAATTTTTGTTGGCATGGTCATGGTGAGCTTTCTTTGAAAATCCTTAGGATAAATTGAGAAAAGCTTTATTGTTGGAAAACTTTCTTTCTTTTGGCATATAGAAACTCTATCTTTTTACTAACAATCAAAATATGTTTAAACTCCAGTGATATACTATGCTTTTTGTGGCCAAAATTTTATCTTTTATGCTCTTATTGGGTCATTACGAGCAAATAAACTTTTCAATGAAAACATTGATCTGCCGTAAGAATTCTTATAATGACTTAGATTTTGTTTGGGACGACTTTCTTGTTGCTTCTTAAAGCAGCTTTTTAGTATAAAAGTTTCAATTTTTATACTAAAATGCTGCTTTAAGAAGCAACAAAGAAACTGTCCCAAACGAAGCCTTATTTTAGAAGAATCAACATTTTGATTTTTTTTTTTCCATTTAATCACCTTATATCTGAATTTCATGGTCTTACAGAGTCACAGTCAACCCATAAGCCCAGTGGTTTCATCTCTCCCACCCTAACAAAACTCTTGTTGCTACTGTTATATTGCTATTGCTGTTCTTTGTTTTTTATATTGACATCGTTCGTTTTTTTCTCATAATTGTATTCAGGTCGACAAAACATCCATTCTTGCTGACACAATAGAGTATCTTAAAGAGCTTGAGAGAAGAGTTGAAGAGCTGGAATCCTACAGAGAGGAAGCAGATCCTGAGATGACAGCAAGAAGAAAACATCCAGACACCGCAGAAAGAACATCAGATAATTATGGCACCAATGAGCTCCTCAATTGCCGGAAACCTTCATCAAATAAGAGGAAAGCTAGCGAAATCGACGAGGCCAAAGACGAAAATCACAGCCTCTTACCAAAGAAAGGCTTATTCGATATCAATATCACCATGATTGAGGAACTGGTGCTCATAGAGATGCAGTGCCCATGGAGAGATTTATTGCTCCTTGACATAATTGAAGCCATGAACAACCTTCATTTAGATGCTCAGTCTGTGCAGTCCTCCATTGATGATGGCAATCTTTCTATTACAGTGCGATCAAAGGTACCCTCCATAAAAGGAAAAATTATGCTGTCCGGATACGGTACCGAGCAGTACCGGTGTCGGTACCGAGTGGTACCAAGCGCAGTACCGAGCTCGATACCGAGCGCCTAGTGATGTGGCATTTTTTATTAATCTTTGGACACGTTCGGTGTCCGGACAGAATAATTACTCCCATAAAAGCCAGTTCTAAAATTTTCACTTATATTGATGAGAATACTGATCAAAATTTAAAATTTTTGGTGCAGTTTATGTGTGAGGTTAAAGCTTCCCCAGGTACTATCAAGAGAGCACTTCAGAGAGTTGTCAGCAAATGTAATTAGATGTTCAGTAAGTTCTATCATTATATTAGTAAACTTTTCTCTCAGGAATCTCTTCTCTTCTCTTTGAGATAATTTTTACCCGTTTTAGTTTGCTCATCATTGTTTTATTTTAGGGATGATAAATGATAAAATATTTTAGAAAAAGAGAGATTTACATATATTTCATAGAATTCTTATATATTTACATGCATGTAATTTTTTATATTTACTTATATAATATTTTAACTTTTAAATCTTATTTATAAGTAAATATAAAAATTTTAAGGTGTTAAATTATATCTAAATATATAAAAATTTTATGATATGCATATAATACCTCTAAAATGTAATAAATTTCATGAACTGATTGCCTTGATTGCGAACAATTATTACGTCCTCCGACCGGACACAGAGGAACGTCCGGTCGGAGGCCAAATCCCGCCAAAAAACAAGTTGTACCGAACAAATACCGAGCAATACCAAACAATAACGAGGAATACCATCATTTGAAGATCCAATACCGAATTATACCGAGTTAAGCCGAGAAATACCGAGTTATACAAAAGTTGTACCGAGTTTTTTCTAGAAAACTTGGTACAACTCGGTATTTCTCGGTACAGCTCTGTATAACTCGGTATTGATCTTCAAAGAGCGATATTCCTCGTTAATATCAAATAATAGCTAGTTGTACCAAACAAATATCAAGTTTTTTGGCGGGATTTTGCCTCCAATCGGACGTTTCTCTACGTCCTTACACCGGATGTAATAAAAGTTCCCCGATTGCATGTAATAAAAAGTTTTCATATATTTTGAGCTATGCAAATTTATCACATCTTTTGATGCTGACTTTATTATTAAAGTGAAAATAAAATTAAGTGTTTATAAATTGTATTCTCTATCTACTGCCAACCAAATTTGCCTTGGACTTCTTCTTCTGGCCTTCGCCGTATTGGAACAGCTCCTTTGTTTTAAAATGTAATTAATTTTTGCTTGTAAGCGTTACACGGCATTGGCTCCCAAGTCAATGCTGTAAATGTTTCAACTTCCAACTGTATTATACCTCTTTGAGGTTTTATTTGGGGAAGTTTTTTTTAATATTTTTTTTAGATTTATTTGAAATGATTTTCTTATTGTTTTTTTAAATAATTTTTTATTAAAATATTATTTTGAGATGCAGTAAGAAGTTGTCCAAAATGAAACTTTAAAGTTATTTTTAAAAAAAATTTTTAAAAAATTGTAACTGTTTTAAAAAATAATAAAAAAGTTGCCCAAATGAGGCTTGAGTTTTAGCATTCAAAGATTCAGGCTTTATTTGAGGAACTTTTATTATGTCCGGTGCAAGGACGTAGAGGAACGTCCGGTCGGAGGCAATTTCCGGTCAAAAAATCAGGTATTTGCTCGGTACAACTAGGTATTATTTGATAATAATGAGGAATACCGTTCTCTGAAGATCAATACCGAGTTATACCGAGCTGTACCGAGAAATACCGAGTTGTACCGAGTTTTTCTGGGAAAAACTCGGTACAACTTTAGTATAACTCGGTATTTGCTCGATAAAGCCCGGTATAACTCGGTATTTGGTCTTCAAATGATTATATTCTTCGTTATTGCTCGGTATTTGCTCGGTACAACTCGTTTTTTGGCGGGAATTTCCCTCCGACCGAACGTTCCTCTACGTCCGGTCGGAGGACGTAATAATTGTTCTTATTTGAGATGATTTTATTATTATTTTTTAAAGAAACTTTCAGTATGAAAATTAAAATTTTTGTACTAGAAAATTGCTTTAAGAAACAGTAAGAAAGCTGTCTTAAAAGAAATATAAAATTTCTTGGAATATAAGCCTATTTAATTTATTTTGGTGGATAGGGATTATAGCAAATTCCCCCAAAATTAAAAAAAAGGATTATAGCTTGTCTACAACAAGCAGTACCTTAGATGGCCGCTTGTCCCAGCTTTAGGGTGAATTATTCCGGACATTCAATCCAGATGCGTCACGTCATTCAAATACACTAGGATCCGGTATATTTTGGTGACGTGACGCATCTGAATTGGTGTTCTGACGAATCCGGAACCCGGACGTAATAATTTGCCCATCTTTAGATAGGAATAAAAGTGGTTCATAAATGTTCCTTGACTGGAAAGAGTCAAAGATAAACAAAAGCTGCTTGATAACTCTTTTTTCCTGGGTTTGGTAGGAATTATTTAAAAATAATAATAAATAAATATTTAATTTGAGATATTTTTACTGATATAGCAAGATAGATATGTAAATTATAGTATACCATCGCTATCTTTAATTTTACTAGTATGCCACCTTAATTGATAAGCTCTAAAAAAATTACAGCAACTTTCATTACTGGATTTTTAATATTGTAAGAGACTTGACTACTAAACCATCGTATAGGTCATGGCGTCATGCCTAAGTTGCCAAAGGTTCAGTTTTACAGTACTCCGATAATAAATTTACAAGAGTAGAGTAATATTTTATATACCAGCGGTGCACATGTATCCAATGCACAAATAGATTAATAAGAGAGTTTGAGAATACTAGAGATTTTTGATATGGAAAATTTCATAAGGTAAAACTATAAGGGCTTGTCTAGTTGAAGAGATTTCATTATATATGTTGCGGGTTAGAATATATGCGGTGATAGAGTTGAAAATTTTTCGGCTCAATCTTGTATGGATATCCAACACATAGACAGAGAAAAAAATGTAACACAAGAATTTTTATGTAGAAACCCTGGAAATGGGAAAAATCATAGGGCCATGCCAAGTTGAAAGGATTACACTAGTGTTTGTTTTGGTTACGAGTGGCTGACTCGTCCCTGAAACTGAGGACAATCAGATTACAATAATATTGGATTGAAATTCAATTATAAACAGAGATAGGAAATCCGATGATGTAAAGTGGTCGGGCGAAAATTCGGCTTCATGTGACTATCGATTAGAATTCCGACTTCAGTCGGCTGTCGGGCAGAACTCTAACACCAATTGACAGTTGGGCAGAATTCCGACGTCAGTTGACAGCCGGGTGAAAGTCTGGTGGTGGTCAATGAAGAGTCTCTTCCTTCCCTTCCTTTTCTTCCTTCTCTTCTTGCTTGCTTGCTTAATTCTAGCGTCAGTTGGTTGCCGAGTGAAAGTCCGGCAGTGGTCGAGGAGGAGTCTCTTCCTTTTATTCTTCCTTCTCTTCTCTTCTCTTCTCTTCTTGCTTGGGGTCTCCCTCTCAAGAGAAATGAGAGATCTATTTATAGTTTTCTGAGTGTGGCATGGCTAATAAATAGGAGGAAGATCGAGGATAAATTTGGAGTGATTTGATTGGACGATCGATATTGAATCCCTTGATCGTGGACCGTTTATTAGGCATTAGAAGGCTCTAATGATATCAGAATTTGACGATCTTGGGTTCGTTGGATTTGTCTCATCGAGCCACTCGATTCGATTATAAGCATATCATATTTGGAAATTGTTTGATAATCCAAATTATGGATTGAACCTTCCAAATATGCTTTGGGTCTTTGATTTGGACTCATTTGGGCTCAGAATGAGTTGAATTTGGTGTCATTGGGTTCATATTTCCGAGACTTTCAGTTCGACAGTAAGTTTGCTAAAATCGGAGTTCAGATGATCTTCAATTTAATTTTTGAAGTTTCCAATTTGATTTTTGCCTCGAGATTCGTGCCCGATCAAGATAATTTTTCAACCCTGATTCATCCTTTGATCTCTTAGGACAGAGTATAGCTTCTCATACATTGCATATAAGGCGATTGAGCGTGCATTAAAGTTGTTAGCTGGTAACTCACTCCTAGTAAGTATAAGTGCAGATTGTAAACATCTCTTCAGTCTCAGCACAATCATATTCAACTCTTTTAAATTTTAAAATCTAAAATCCAAATTCAAAGGATAATTAGAGCATTTATTTCCTGATTAGTAACAAATAATATCAATCAAATTTAAGAAATTTAATAAAATATTTGATTGCTTCTCTTGAATCCTTAATTTTGGTTGTTTTCTATGTTCTAAAAGTAATTTCTTTGTTTAAAGTACTTTCTCCTTTTTTTTTTCAATTTTTTTTAATAATTTAAAGTATTATTTCTAAGGCTTTGTCTGTGACAACTTTCCTACTGCTTCTTAAAACATCTATTCAATACAAAATTGCTAATTTTTATACTAGAAAGCTGTTTTACGCGGCAGTAAGAAAGCAGTACCAAACGAAACCTAAATCTCGGTCATTTATATACTCACTCTTATAATGTTGGCAACACCTAATACAAATAGACAGAAATAAGCTTCCACCTCTAATACTATCTTCCAAATTTTAACATTTTTGTAATGTTTGATCAATTTGCCATATAAATATTCTTCAAACTCTTAGCCAACTTTATAGAAAGCGAATGCTTACCAAGTAGGAAACCAAATATTTTAGATGTGGTATGCATTTCAAAGTCTCTTCTAAAAAAAAATAGTGCTGTGATGGATGTGGTGACGACAAGCCACAAGTTGCCTGCCTACCCCAAAAGTATGCTTCTCCAACTTGTCTAGCAAGAAAACTCTTCAAGACAATTAATGCACAGCTGAATTTTTAAGCATTGAAGATTATTCCATAAGAACATTTTGAATATTGCACCAACCGCAGCTACCAACCAATCAAAAGGGAGCCTTCCCAACTAAACCTTCTTCCATCATAGATGCCTTCTCACGTGGAAATTTTTTTTAGTGTATGTACTAGATATTCTATATTTATAAACGAAATTATTGTATTGAAAATAGGGTAATATATAGGGGTTTAAATAAGTCTTTTCAAGTTCAAGCTACCTATGGTTTGAGCTTGAGCTTAGAAATTAATCATGTTCAAGTTCTAACTTGAGCTCAATTTAAAAGCTTGAGCAAATTCTTGTATTAAAAATTTTAAACGAGTTGACTCGAAAGGTAATGATCTAAGCATGGATTGACATAACTATTGCTTATTAGCATATGGAGCTCATCTCACGAGCCATTTTTTAAGCCAAATCCAAATAGTCTCTAGTTGGGCTATACTGAGTTACACCCCTAGAATAATATTATGCCCTTGCATGCCTTCATAGGTACTTAGCAGATAGTCGATGTGTTACCAAGAGATGACTCTCATCAAACGGGCCCCATAGAAGAATTTTTCATAGGAAGGAACATCATGCCTTATATGTCGGGGCATACAAAGAAATATCCTCCTCTCAGGGGCAGCAAGGAACCTCGCAAACTGAATAACTAAGCACTCGCCTCAGGGGACAAAGGTAGTTGACACAACAACTCGTTGCTACCTGAGGTGGGCACCTTCGTCTCAATACATTCAAGTTTAACTAAAGTAAATTACCTACCTAGAGAGCCTTCAACTCAACCTTCCATGAACAGCTGACCACTGAGTTCATCTTCTCTAAAGCAATCTCACTTGTCTTTTCCTTTGGGCAATCCAAGACTCCATGCAGGTCATCAATGGCCCTTCGACACCATTCAACCATCAAGCACCACTTAATTGCTCAAAAATCCCCCACAGACTCATGCAATCCTATTAGGTAGCACTAAGCTCACCCACACTGTAGAGTTCGCTTAGTGCAAACTCGACACTATCGAGTTCACGCAATGACATATGATTAGAGCTTTGTAGCCCCCACTCTCCCTCGATCAACAAAGAGGTGACATGTGTCCAAGGTAGTATGTGTAGCATTGCACTTTTTTAATTTTTTTCATGTACAATTTTTTTATAAGGTCATAGAGAGATGCTTAAAATAAAGGACTTAGCCCTCCAATCACCCAGGATGCCTTGACCCAAGGATTATAATATCATCAGATTTAACAGCTTTTTCACATTTTACATTTCTTAAAACCTCTCAAACTTCGGCTTTACTAATATGATGATAAAAATAAAAATCTTTATTTCATTTAAGGGTGTTAAAGTCACTAAAGTTTATCATATTCTCATAATCTTCATTAAAAAGCTTATTGAAATATCTCATCTACCTACATTCAATATCCTCAAATAATGAAAGCAATTTTTAAACTTCATCCTTAATGCATTTTACTTGAATTAAAATGTGGATTTAGTGTTTCTTGCAACCCTCAAAATCTTATAAATAAGAGGCATTGATGAGTATTTTCCATCTTTTGAATCTTATGTGACTTAGGCCCTTTTTTTGTCTAATTGATATTTAAGTATTTATCATAGCTTCTCTCTAGTGTTTCCCCATACTTTCCTCTCTCAAACAGGTTCTAGGTTGTACGCTCACAGGTTAGCTTGTTAATAAGGTCTAGTTGATGAACTCTTGCAGACCGAGGAACAGTACAGTCGAGAACTCAAACATGAAGTAAAGCAGGAAGAAGATGAACAGTGAAATGGATGATTTCGTTGACTTAACTGATTTCATTACAATGGTATAAATAAGAATATCCTCAAATAATGAAAGCAATTTTTAAACTTCATCCTTAATGCATTTTACTTGAATTAAAATGTGGATTTAGTGTTTCTTGCAACCCTCAAAATCTTATAAATACGAGGCATTGATGAGCATTTTCCATCTTTTGAATCTTATGTGACTTAGGCCCTTTTTTTGTCTAATTGATATTTAAGTTTTTATCATAGCTTCTCTCTAGTGTTTCCCCATACTTTTCTTTCTCACACAGGTTCTAGGTTGTACGCTCACAGGTTAGCTTGTTAATAAGGTCCATTATCATTCACAGGTATATGTATGTACAAAAAAATTATGAGTTATGCTCCTCAAATAATTTTACATGCCAGCCGCCTGCTTCTTCTATGTATATATTAATATCTAAATTGTAATTACATGAGACAAATTGGAGGTGCATAAGCAAAATCACATATTACCTAACACTTTATCTTTGTTTTATATTTTTCTTCACTCACGAGCTGCGACCTTTTTGTTCAATAGAAGTTTTCTAAATTGTCAACTTATATGACAACTAATCCCTTAAAACCCCTTATTCTATGATTAGCTTCCATGTCTTCTTGCCAGACTGTGCAACAATTATTTAGTGATTTACATTCCCAAAGCGTCGCTGGAGCCTTTGCATACAAACAAGTGTCATTTATCTAAGTTGTTTCTTGGACAATAAGGACAGCAGAAATAAGCATATTTTACATGTCTAAAGGATGTTAGGTTCACTAAAAAAGAAAAATATATATAAAGTCTAGTAAAATAATCATTATTATTTTTCCTACCGAAAATATTTGAAGTCACTTTTATGAATGCTGATTTTTTATTTCAAAACCATCAAATCAAAGGACTCCTTGTTCCATCCTGTTCCCTGCATAATCCTTCCACACGGTAATTAGAGCATATCTTAAGGCCCAAATTGGTCCACGTAATCTGCACCAAATTTGTGGTTTTGCAATGTAAACAGGCCCGAAATCCCAAGTTTTTCAACTCGTATCTAACGCATTATTCAACAATTAAGAACATTCAAATATCTCATAGGATTTCTTCTTTTCATCCACCAACCAAGTAACATCCATAGCTATTTCATTAGGTTCAATATTCAACGGTTGAATTGCCTCAATATATAGGGGTTGTTTGGTAACAGGATTTAGGCCGGATTTGAGCGAAATCCAGCCAAACCGCCTAAAATGCAAAACCAAATCTCTCAGTAAATGAAAGCCGCCGTAGACGGAAAATTACCACTTTTTGTGACAATTCCCGGATTTCTGAAATCCTCTGATTCGGCGGATTTAACACTCTGTTGGCGCGAGAGGGAAGAAGACTCCGCTTGTTTCAGGATTTAACAATCAATAGTCAAACAGTCACACAAGATTTATCATAAATGTTACCAAATAGTTTTTAGGATTTAACCCCCCAGCGGATTTCATAAATCCGGATTTAGAGGATTTACGAAATCCTACTTAAATGAAATTTTGGGTGCTACCAAACAGCCCGTTAATGTCAATTATATTTCAGAGGCTATGAAAACAATTCCATGAATGGTAGAAAAGATCACATCTTTTACTCGTATAACTTTACAATGGGGAGAATACAACAATTCAATTCAGAAAAGATGAAATATCTTTCTCAGATTGAAAATCAGATACTAGCACTTCGTTTAGAATTAAAATCTTTAGATATCGAAGTGCTTTTCAGGGTGAAATCATCAACAGTATATCCAACAATATCAAATCTTCCTCTCTCACTATTCTCCCGAAATTTTACGTAGTCCTGACAAATAAATGGTGGATACATTCTACTGTTTTCTTTTCCCACTAAATCTTCAGGAGCTTTTATCACCTTTTCATCCTCAAAGCACCAAAAGAAAGCCATTGAGAATCTATTAACACAATGTTTTAACACCACCCTGTGTTCGGATGATCTCAGCCGTCCATTGCTCCAAGCTTGGAGCAAGTCTCCAATGTTCACTACCAATGTTCCTTCATTTGGTGTTAAGTTCACCCATTCCCCTCTCTTTGATCTTACCTGAAGCCCACCAATCTCATCCTGGTAAAGAATTGTGATGCAGCTCATATCTGTATGTTTTCCAAGCCCTTCAATTTCTCCTGTATCAAAGTTCCCTGGAGCTGAGTAGTTGTTAATCCTAAGGTATCCATGGCACCTAATGAATTCAGATTCATGGTATTTCTTCTCAAATCCATCTTCAAGACAATTCAAAAGAATAGAGATAATCTTCTTTGATAAATCAATCATCTTATTTCCATATTCTTGCAATACTTCACTGCAAAAATAGTAGAGCTAGGTTGTTTAGCTGAGTTAGAAGAATGAGTGCTAAGAAAATCAAAGTATTTACCAGAACTCCGAATTGGCTCGTTGAAATAGTACATTGCTTGATTTCTTAGCTGAGTTATAGAAGTCTGGACCAGAAACTCGAAGACTTTCGAAGAAAGGGGATGCAATGAAGTGAGGAGTGTAGGTATTGATGCTGGCTGATGGTCCTAGCTTGAGCTTAATATCTAAAGGCTGGTTAAAAACTTCTTTGCATAGGATGTAGATCTTATTGTAGAGTTCCTTGGAGATTCCATGGTTGGTGATGTGGAAGAAGCCCCAATCACGACAAGCTGAATTGAGAACAGAGAGAACAGAAGGATGTAAGGGTTGGGAGACATCCAAGAGAGGAAGTTGAAGAGGAGTCATAAGAGAATCCTGCATTTTAGAGACGGTGAAAGATAGAGATTCTGTTAAGTTAGTTTCTGAGTTCTATTTAGTTGGTTGGGTACCTTTTTATAGGATAGATGTAATGCATATTAGATGGATCTATAGAAAAAGTTGGATTATTTTATGCCCATCATTCCAAAATTTCAGGAGCTTCTTTCCTGCTTGTTGAGGCACTTGACAGTATTTTAAACAAAAAAACAATGAAAAGGTATGAAGCTTAAAGTATTCCAGTTCAGAGCACTATATTTAATTTAGTCTGCATGTGCTGTTTGTCCTTGTGCGCATTTATGTTATATATATTGATAGAAAGAGAATGGTTGGGGCGAGAAAGGGATTTATTCATGTCAATTGCTATAGCTTGGAGTAATCTAAGGCAGATCTATATGGTCAACAACGAGAAGAAATGCAGCAGCAGTGCTTTCCATTAATTCCTATTTAACTACTCAAGTTGTTCATTGACTTCCAAACACATTTTATAGAGGGAATTTAACATGAGTAATGGTATAATTTATGCGCTCATACTTATTTAGATTAAATTGATCAAGTCATCGAGAAACTGAATTTAGTTCACCAAGTTGCTGAATATGAATCAGCTCGGGCCACTTACAACTTGTTACATAACTCAGCTTGCCAAATTTGAAATTCCCTTTAGAATGAAGTCGTCCAATAGCTAAGAACTCTTTGGGGTTGTATAGGCCGTACTTTAGGCGGATTTGAGCGAAATCCAGCCAAACGACCTAAAATGCAAAACCAAATCTCACGGCAAATAAAGCCACTGTAGATGGAAAATTCCACCTTTTCGTGCTAAATTCCGGATTTTCAAAATCTTTTTTATTGCCGGATTTACAAAATCCATTGGCTAAAGAGGAAAAGTCCGCTCATTAAATCTTTTCTATAGACAAACACTCACACAAGATTTAATAGGATTTATCATGAATGTCACCAAACAGTTTTCAGGATTTAGGCCCCCTTAGGATTTTCGAAATCCGGATTTAAAGGATTTACGAAATCCTAATTTAATCAAATCATGAGTTCTACCAAACACCTCCTCTAGGTAGTCTAGAAATAAAGAAGTGAGGAAGGAGCCAAAGAGGTGATCTTGATGATCTTGATGATAAGGCAGATACATCATCATCAAAAACAAAACGAGATGACAAATTAAAGAAGACGGATACGAGAACGTTAGAATAAGCCAAAACATTTTGTAACAGATGAGAATTGAATTAAGAGCAGGAGAAATATTCGGAGGGTCGATTCAATTACATACAGGTAATATCAACTTCCAAATTTGCAAGCCAGTTGGTGGCACGATTTCCAACTCTGAATATCTGAGCAAGTCTGTGCTCAATTCTAGAAAGATCCATTTTAATTTTCCTGAGAAGATAAAATGTGCTAAATCTACCAACAATTGCAGATACGAAAGTCTGATTAACTTAATTTGCATGAACTTCCATCTAAAACTCTGTTTATCTTGTATGTAAGCATAACTCGTAGACCCCTAAGCCCATTGGTGCATAAAATCTCGTGCTTTATAGGTAAACTGTTAGGGCATCACATACCTTCCTCTCTCCGTCGGACCCGCCGTGTCTCCTTCGATCGAGCAGCCATGCCGCTAGTGCTCGTCTTCTTCTTTGACTAAGAGCCGCCTAGGTCTCCAGTCTTTCTCTTATAGTCAACCAACATTCCTTTCTTAAATAATAATAATAATAATAATAATAATAATAAACTAACATCCTTTCTAACCTTCAGGAAAAAAAAAAAAGCAATCATTTCTCACTCTAATGATCTAATCCTTTGACTTCCTCCTCTTCTCGTCTGTTTCTGCTCTTCCCCATTTTCATAGCTTATCTTCTCGTCCTCGAATCCAAAAACTCATTTTTGTACTTAAAAAATATGGGTGTCAATTCAGGTCAATCGATCAAATTTGGATCTAATGTGATTGCACTCATCAACGGGTCAAATTTGGATCGAATTTGATTGGACTCGACTGTAAACGGGTTGATCCTAACTAGATCTAGTTTTATAAACGGGTCAGATTTGTCAACCCGGACCCGACCTGTATGGGTTATCGGGTTGACACGACACGACATGCGAACAACTACAAAGCAGAGCAGAGAATGCGGAGCAGAGCGGGTTTGTTGAGTCTGGCGGAGCGGAGACATCGACAGTAAGTGCGGCGTGCAGGATGGACGGCAGCAGCGGTAGCTTGGTCGCTCGAGCAAGATGCGGATGCAAGTGCGGCTATGCAGGCTGGACCGACGGCTGCGACACGTCGACACCTGACAAGGACCGACAGATGTGGACGAGGACGTGATCGGATGTGGCGAAACTTGATGTGACACCAGTCCTGACACGTGGGATGACCAAACGGGTCAGTTCAGGTTGTCGGGTCAACATAAACTCGACCCATTTTTCAAACAGTTCTGAAATCTGAACCCGGAATCGACGTGTTTCACAAATGGGTTGACCCGAACCAAGATTTTTCCGGGTCGGGTTTCGAGTCGTGTCAACTTTTGACACCCCTATTAAAATATATAATAATACTCTAAAATATAGCAACTCATTTTTAATCTAACTTCGATTTTTTAATAACAAAAAAATATTTTGTGTATATTTTTTCTTCAATTAGCTCTATTTCTTAGCAACAGAATAGCGTTGGTGAACAGTGCGGTACTTATAAAGACATCGCACGGTTCACAACAATAACATAGATTTGCGTTCGGCATCGGGTTTAGCAATTGGCAAACAATATATATGTGTTTGTAGTTCGGTTGGAGATGCTCTAGATAAAATAAGATTAGCAGTTTAATTTTTTTACTAAATTAATTATTGTGTTATTATTTATTATATAAGGATTTATGTTTAATATAT